GGTGTCACTTCACTTTTTATCACACTTGGTTTCCAGGCAGCAAGGCTTTTTGTCATTCTGTTCTTTGCAGGACAGTCTGCATTGCTCTGTGACTTTAGGAGAAAACAAGTTGCTTATGTTCTCTCACAGAAAATATCAGTCTTGAAAGGGAGCTGAGGGAAGAACAGGGAGATAAGAAGCATTGTTATGATTAAAAATTGTCTCACTGATCTGGTGTGGTTTCATCTTAGCCCATGGAGTAGAAAATATTCTGACTGGAGGCAGCAAGGCCAGATTTCGTTTCTAATTACCATCATTCATTATATATATATATATATATATATATATATATATATATATAGGTGGTGTAAGAGAAATACTGCTCAATAAAAACTATGTTTTGTGAGGCCATGGGGATGATGCAGCATAAATAAATGCGTAGGTTGAGGTCATATGAAAATGTAGGTTGAGGTAGGTTACAGCATCCATGTTATTAAGGGGTAATAACTCAGTGTGTAGCCACTGCAGTACTAACAATGCTTTTATTTTGTACTGAGACCCCCAGACACTGCCAGCCCCTCACACTGCAGGCCTGGCAGGCAGGAGGGTCTGCAGGGCTCTGGGTACCTCAGCTCTGCCTGAGGCTCAGCCACAGGAAGAGAGGTTGATGCAGGTTGGAATGAGAGCTACAGAGGACTCAAGGAATAATCAGTGTCCTCAGTTATGTTTGTATGTGAAATCTGCTGCCCTCAAATCTGACCCTGCCAGCGCTTCCTGCATGAGGAAGGACCTGGGAATACAGATAGTCTCAAAGCCAGGTGGTCCCCACAGAGCCTGTGCAGGTGTTTGAAAGGAGGTTAAGCCCAAGAGTCACAGGAGATGGGAGGAAAACAGCAGAGGAAAAGTTTTGGAGAGGAGACATCCAAGAATCATTGTAAAAGATTTTTCCACTCTTGCTTCCAGTTAAGCTAATTTTTTTTATTTTTCTCCCTACACTCAAACTTCTTCTATCTTTTCAGGCTCAGATTTGATTTAAATCATTGCAGACTTCTCAGATGTGCTCTGGACCAGCCTGCTCAGACAAGCCTGCAGGCAGATCCCATTAGCACCTGCTCTTCCCCCACCTTGGAGCAGCCCCTCTGTGTGACCTGGAGGGCGAGGAATGGCTGCAAGTGCAAACTCAGAGTGCAGGGGTGAGCTGCAGGGAGCAGCTGATTCACCTGCAGCTCTGTGTGGGTGAAGGGAAATCACAAACAGCCAGACAATGCAATGTGATGTGCACCCACTCCTGCTTTCTCTAGAATTTCTGTTTTTACTTTTAGCAAATGGCCTGGTGCATTATAAGTCTGAAAATGCTTAGGAAATTTCCCTTTTATTTTTATTCTCTGAAAGCTTTTAATAATTAAAATAAAACCAAGAAAATCACTGCAAGGGACACATTTATTTTCAGCTGTGCTGAAAATGCCTAAACCTGCCTCATGTAGAACCACTCAAAATACCCTATTAAAATTATTATAAGCCTAAATTAACTTCTAGTAATTCTGGGGTTTTTTTGTAGTTTAAGCTCACAGGCTGTAGGCTGAATGATTGACTTGATCCTCACCAGAGCTGATCCATCAGCCAAAATCAGCCCAGTTTTGCTGACCACCATTCCTGTTCATTCTGGCTGAACTCTTCCACACAGATTTGTCTTCTCCATTAGTCCTGGCAGTGCCAATGCCATGGGAAGTGGCTGCATTTTCACAGTACAGCCCACCAAGATGCTCCATGCCTTGATCTTCATGAGAGCTGAGAGCAGCTCAGTATGGACTTACTGAAGAATAAGGAATTGTACATACAAGGATGTATTAAATACTTTGGACAAAACTCAACAAATTTAATCTTTCCTCTTTGTTAATAAGTACCTGGACAAACATGGAACCTATCTCAAGTAATGTGCATGGATACATGCATACATTCATGTCTGTAAATCTTCTGGGTGTGCATGCACACCTGTCAGAGGAGAGGCTTTGGAAATGCACACCTTTATTTCCCAGGGCTACAGCATTTCATCTTTAGTAATTCCCCTCCTCCCACTGCATTGCTGCCAGCATGACAATTATTCTTTGATTCCTTTCCTCCTGTACAGTGTTAATTTTTTAATATCAAATGTGATGCTTTTGACAAATTAATATAAAGTATTGGTTTGTAAATTAATGTGTATTGGTTTGTAAATTGAAGTACACAGGTTTTTCAGTGGAGTTCAGCCTGGCCAAGTCTGAATGCCCTTCAGAAGTTGCTAGGTGACACTGGCACACCTCAGTCTGCTGAACAAATGGGAGCTTGTAATGTTGATGCAGTGTGTTCAACCAAACATCCTGCTTTCATTTTGACAGAGGCTTTTTTCCTTTCTGCAAACCATTGTATAATTTTATGAACTGCAAGCAAGTTCAGATTACATTTTTTGCCAGTGGTGATTTAGTTCATAAAGCCAATGCAAGTTTTTCCATGTTGCTTTCATGGAAATCAGAGCAAATTCATATATTTGCATGGGCAACAACATAGAGTGATCCAGAAAATTTAACAAATTTCACAGCTTTGAACCTGACTGCATTTATTCCTGTTTTTCTGCCTGCACTTGAATGCAGAACAGCTGAAGTGCATCTTTGCAGCCTCCTCCACTCTCACTCAGAGCATTTGCAAACCCACAGGAGCCCAGTCTGTGTAACACAAACATGGGTATGTGCATTGTGTGCTTGGGCACCCAGGACAGATGAGTCAATGCTGAAAATATATATCCTTAACCTTATCCTTATCCTTAACCAGAACAAGAACAGTTTTTTTCTGGCTCCTTCCCAGTAGCTGGTGCCATAACAGGAATTACTGGAATTTCATGACAGTGAAAAGGAGGAAAAGAGTAAAAATGCTTTAAATTTCTCTCTTTATTTTCCCTTTTTTCTTAAGACAAATATTTCCTGATTTCTTTCTTCCCTGTTTTGAAGCAGTAATCATGCTGCACTGACTCAGACTGTTCACAAGGTGATTTCACTTACCTGGAATTGATAAGAAATGTATTTCTAAAAATTTTCCTCCAGGCAGGGACCTGTGGAGCCAAGAAATGTCTCTCAGTGGACTCCTCTGAAGCAAAATGGTGAATTTGAAAAGAGAGGATGGATGGGCTTTCAAGGCTTTGGCCTGTCTCTTCCAGCATCATTTTTGTGATCCAAACTGGCATTGATTTAAGATGTGTTCCTGTGCAGCGTAAATAAGAGCTTAAAGCAGCTGTTAATTAGCTCAGCTCTGTTCCATTCTTGCTTTTCATGTTTATAGATCTCCTTGAGAAATAAGGAGCAGAAGGAAAAGATCCAAGAAGAAGAAGCAAGAAGGCAAAGGAAAAGAAGTGGATGGGGATTGCAAATGGAAACTCATTTCAGAAAACTTTATATGAATGTAGGCTGCATCTAGATTTATATAGGAACAGTGACTTAGAAAGAGGAACCTGTTGGTATCTGGAGCAAGGTGCAAAGCCTGGCAGCCTCTTTGCTTGCCCATGGCCATTGTGTGCTCACCTCTGTAATCTCTTGCTCATCTTTCCTCCCCTGGCCTTGGCCAGGCACTCCCAGCCCCACTGGGAGAGTTGTGGCTGGGTGTGAGCCCAGAGAAAACACACTGTGAGCTCAGCAGGTCTTATCTCACATTTATCTGGGGATGGCAAGCTGCCATGCTCAGCCATTATAATCTTTTGATCCATTTTTCATATAGAAATATGTATACATCATATATATACACGTAAATATAAAGCATTCAGCTTCTGGCCAAGAGGGAGCTATTTGTAGCTCTGTTGCCCACTTGACTGCCTGGTGAGGATTGTCTTTCTGGGAATCTTGGATCATTCCCAGAATAAGTGAGCAGATAAAAATTTGTGTTTGCAAGTGCAGCAGGTGTCTGCAGAAAGTTATTGCTGCTGAAAAAAATAAAATAAAATTGCTACCCGTATAGTACAAAACCCAGTGGGGAATATTTCTTGTTATTTTGCAATGCAGACTTTCAATTACTGAGTATCACTTTTCATAGACATTCTCAGAAGAAAAAAAAAATCTTTGGTACCTTGCATGACTGGGCTGAGATTCTCATCCTGAGGGCTCAGTACTTAATGAAAAACCTGAAACACAAGACTCTTCCCAGTCTCCCTGGCAGAGAGTGTGTTGGATCAGTATGCCAGTGTGAATCCACCCCTTGCTTACCTGCCTCTTGCCCTGAGAGGAATTTCAGAATTACCTAAAATAAAAACTTTCTCTTCTATATTAAGACCATCTCAGTGACACGGAGCAGCTCATGCTCTGCTGTTAATTGGTCTCCAGGTATTAACACAGTGCTTATCTCTCCTTATTTACTTCTCCAGCCACTCTTCCCCTTAATGTTCAAATAAAGGAATTGAGGTATTCCAGCACAGAAGCTGTCTCATGTAGCATCACCTCTTAGCTGTTTCATTTGAATGTTTCCAAACCAGACAGGGCAGCATCAGCTGCCTCCCAGGATGGATGCGAAGGCTCTAGTCCAGAAATCTTCTCTGTTAACCCAAGCTCTTGCTTATCACTCTTCAAAAGACTATGAAGACAATAAACTAGTCAATTTAGTCTAATGGACAGGTGTTCATTAGGGTCTTGTTAATATTGTCTGGAAAGACTTAAATTTGAATGTCATGGGTGTCAGCTGCTGGAGTGGCAGGACATGAAGCAGTGCTGATGAATGTTTGTACTTGCACAAGAGGATAATTCCAGTTTATTGTCCAAGGTGTTAACTATTGACGTTAGTGCTGCTTAAAATTTCCCTTTTGTGAATCTATTCAGATTTCCCTCTGAAATTTAGCTCTCACAAGGTAAACTTGTGAAAAACAAGTTGAAAAACAAGGTGAAAAAAGCTCTCACATTAGTAGGGATTTCTCCTGATAAATCTGATCTGTATTCTCTCCACATTTGGCACAAATATTTTCTGCCCAGCATCCCCCACTTCTGCCAGCATTCCAGCCACTACAGCTTAAAGCCTGCTTGTTCTCCTATCACTTGTTCCATATAGAGGAAAGGATTATTATTTCCTCTTACAGTCTGGGAGGGAAGCATGGAGAGATGGCTCCCATTTCCTGGCAGGTATTTTCCTCTGTCAGAATCCCTGAGTGGCACCTTGGCTGCTGAAACCCACAGCAGATAATTTATTTATTTACCTGTGGGAGAGCTCCCCACTGGAGGATGTGACCCTGCAAGGCAGCCTGGCTTGGTGGCTTTAAGGTATTTATGCATAAAAAGGTGGTTTAAGGTATTTACGCATAATAAGGTATTTATTAATGTTTAAGGTATTTATGCATTTTGGTTTTGTTTCAGTGCTGTTACAGAGGGAGAAACTTTTAAAGCATTTGTTGCACAGATAGCTCTGGAAAAAAGACATTTGCCTTGTTTTGTTTCTGCTTTAGCAGCACAATTACCCATTTTGCTGCTGGCACCTGCATCTTTCTGACCTGGGACCCCTGTGCTGAGGGAAGCCCATCCTTAGGGGCTGGCTAGGAACAGCCAAGGGAGCGAGCAAGTGACACCTTAACCTCAAAATACTAATTAAAAATTGCCCTTGAGCCAGCTCCAGGTCAGGTAGCAAGACAAAAGGCCCTGGAGAGGGAAGGATTTACAGTAAATAGCAAGACCTGCAAGACCTTACTGTTGGTAACAGAGAATTCCAGTACAAAGAGCTTCCGTCTTACTGAAACATGATTAAAACTACTTATGTGCAGTTTCTTTATTGGAAATTCAGTAAAATTATTTATTTTCCTCTTCCCAAAAGTCTGATTATTTAGCACAGCTGAGCCATTAGTGGCTTAACAAAGACAGACCTATACACAAGCCAATAAAAATGTTTTTACAATAAATTATCTGCTTGCCTTTTGAGAGCTGAAACAATCTGTTTGATTGTGACAGTATTGATTAGAGCAAGATAAAGACTATTAAGACAATATATTTCTTGAAGGTGAGCATTTAGGGAATTCTGGATAATTCCCTATTTCTTGTCCATCTTTAGAAAGATTTTCATTTATCACTGAACAGCAAGCAGGTCTGAATAAATTGCAAAACAGAGATTTGCCCACAAAATGATTTTGATATCTAAAACAAAACTAGTTTTCACTTTAAGCTATTTTCTGCTTTTGCTTAGGTAATTGTAACTTTCCAGTATGAGAATCAAACAGTATTATATGTAACAAATAGAACATATTTAGGGACATACTTTCAATGAAATAGTTTTCAAATCTTGATGTTTTTGGTCGTTATCATGAAGGTTAAAAATGATAGAAATAAGATCAGGCAATAGGTGCTGAAACTCCTACAATCAAAGAGCAACAAAGTGAATATGAAACTTTAATGTATTGGCATTTATGTGCATCAATTATTCTAATGTTTGACTAACTCTGCGAATTCCACTTTCCTTCAAGATATCTGTACTTTTATGCCAAAAGCACTGAAGAGAAATCTCATGTTTTGAAAACAGACTGATGTCATATTAATTCTGCATTGTGATGAAATTTTGCCATAAGCCCCTTGACTGCTATGAAACAAATATCTTTACTTCAGATGATTTAAAAAAAATGTGTAATTTTCTGTATGTTTGGGTTACAAAAAATCCTGAAAATCTAGGTTGTCGTTACAGTGATGAAACCACTGTAATCAGAAAAAAAGACGAAGTTATCACATAAAAAGTAAGTTATCACATATAAAACTGTCCTGATTCTCAGGACATGCAGGCATTGTCCCTTTGCCATTGAAGGAGCAGAGGCTTTGCCACTGACCCCACAGGGCACAGCACCAGCCCCTCCTTTCACTGCTGTCTCTTCTACTCTGCCCTCAAGGCAGGCGCACACTGATGAAATTGCTCTAATAAATCAGTAATTACTGATCCAGATATAAAAATGTATCTTCCCTCAGCAGAAACCAAAGATGATGAAGTCCTCCAATAAAAAATATTTTCAAATACTGTGAGTAAAAAGCCAGTTTCAGAAACACATAACAAATGTAAACCAGAGAGAGGCCTTAAAATGGGCTGTAGCTGATTTTCCTGTAGAGCTTTTCCTGAAGTTTCACTGGTTGCTAAGATACTACCAGTATTATCTTCCACTATGCCTTTGGTATTTGCGATTTTATATTTTTAACCCCTGTACAAGTCTCCTTTGTGCCTTTACCTGGAGCTTTCCTTTTGGAATGAGCAGGTGGGGAGTGTAGGTGAGATTCTCACACATGAAAAACCCCAGACTTCAGTTACTCTAGCAGAGCACTCCTACCTTCTAACCACTTACATTCTGCCTGGTAAATACAATTGCTTTATTTAGAAATCAACAGTTTTTAGGCTGTGTCCTGCCAGATAATGTATACTCTTCTATAAATGCAGAAAATTTCACTACCTAGAGGTGCCAGAAAATCAGAGGTCTGATTTTCAAAGTTTATTTACAAATTATATGCTCAAATACCTGATTTCCTCAATCAAAGTAATGTTTATGTCTAAATGGTTTGTATTTTAGTGCTCTGCAGGCTGAGGAAGTTTTTTTCAGAATCCTGTAAATGATTTTCAGAACTGAAGATGGAGTGATTGGAAGGAAACTCATTCCTTAAAGTTCATCACTCTGACCAAGCATGATTAAACACTATATAATTTAACATTATTTGCTGATAGAAAATCAAAGCACTTGCCCCCAGCATGCTGACATTTACAGCAGTGGGGAACATTTGCACATTTTATGCTTACAATAACAGATGAGATATGAAATAGATTCCAATAATGCTTTGTTCACCATGGAAGTCTTCACAGCATATGAGCTTGTTCCAGATCCCTGCCATTATTGTGATCTGTTTCTACAAACTGCAAGTAAAGAAAAACTATTTTGATGACAGATAGTGGATAAATCTTCAAAACTCCAGTAGCAGATTCTCCTCAAGCATGCTCCACTGTAGGGCTAATCCTCTTTCTCACAGGGTTTGAGTTTGGCTTTTTTGTTAATAAAGACTTGCATAAACAAATAGGTGACATGGATTGTCTTTCCCTCCTGAGACATTGGATTTTTGTTTGATTCTGTGAAAATATATCACAAATAAGGAGTTAAGTAATCTCAAGAAACTGCAAATAATTTTAAATGTTAAAGAATGCAAGTCAAATGCAGTGCCAGAATATTCCTTTTAAATAAGCTGCCTTCAAAATCAGTATTAGGACTTAAAATGTTTATTTGGTGTGGTGCTTGGACTGCATTATTGAAGAGTGTTGGAGAGTTGGACTCCTATTGGCTCTAAATTTTAGCTTTGGGTTTTTTATGTAAGAACTAATAGCTGCAAGCACAATTCTGTCTCTTTGATGTCTGTGTGCTATATTCCTTCCCTACTGTGATATTGAAGATTATGAAATAGAGCAGAGGATCCTAAGAACAGATTCCCAGTATTTATATGTTAAAAATTTTTGAGAAATTCAGTTTGAGTCTTTACAGCATTGCATCCTCTCAAAACATGATTAAAACCATGCTCATTTTAGCTAATTTACTCATTAAAACTGTGCTCATTTTAGCTACTGTAAGAGAGTGGCAATTCTTCACAGTCCTCTGCAGTTAACCAAGAACATGCATGAATGCACACTTCAATTGTTTTGTTCATAAAATATGTTAAATTGACACTTAAAGCCTTTAATGATGTGTGAACAGTGATGGAAAGCTGTTCCAGAATTTGTTTGGAAGGCTCCAGAAGGTCTTGGACTTGCTTATGCTCTTCCTTTATCATTACTCCTGGTCTTGATAGTGACAGTTCACTCCCATTCCATCCCATGAACACAGGAACAGGATGGAAGTTTCCTCTGCTCTTCAAACCTTGACTCAGACCATGAAATCACTGGCCACAAGCTGCCTAAGCATTGTGAAAGAGGATCCATTCAGACTGAGCTTTGACATATTTGTCCTTCCTGGCAAAAGTCCTTAGAATTAAAGTATTAACAAAATGAGATAGGCACTAATAAAACTGCAGGGGAAGCCAGCTGATTTCAAATGCACTCAACTGACCTGCCTGCAGTCTATTGATTTCTGTTTGTTCTTTTTAAAATAAAACCAATAAATGTCTGGAAGTTCCCTAAGTGATTTGTTTGATGTTAAATAGAAAAATGTTAGTAAAATAAAGTGGAATACAAAAGGCAGGAACCATCTCTGTTTAGATTCTTCTTCCACTGGATTGTCTACTTATTGCAAATATTTTTACTGCTTCCCCTCCCAGTTCCATTAAATTTTTGTCTCAGCTTTATGGTGTTGTACAGTAATGGGTACAAGAAAGCAACAGCATGATGTGGTTTCTGTGAAGGTCAAAATTTTGTCTCTATGAGCCAGAACTTAACCCTTTTGTCATTTCTGTTGATAATTTATAGAGCAATGCTCTCCTGCTGCAGAACACAATGAGCACACCAGTTCTCTGGGCACCAACAGGGAAAGTGTGGCTGGATGTGGAAGCATCCTTCAGTAGCTGCACTGGGAATGGGGGGGAATAACTGTTGCCTTCTGTGCCTTCAGACAACAGATCCTCAGATCTTATTTGAAAAATAATGATTCAGGCTCTATTCAGTCTCAACTTTTTTCATGTAAATGAGCATAAGCTGGTGTTATATTAAAGAGCCAGACAGAAAGTTCTGTTTGCAGTTGTCTCATGCACTGATAATTGCAGCAAGTTCCAGTCCCTGGCAATGTCAAAAGTACTTTATAGCTCTTCAGTATTACTGGGTCTTCTCTTTAAATCCCACCCTCTGTGATCATTATCTCCAAGAGCCACTTGTCTCCACGTTTATATTTTTACTCATCAGTGCTGCTTACAAGTATCTAATCATGCCACATCCTGCCTGCAGTCACCTTACCCCTAAAGTTAATAGCTCTGTACTCATACCTCAAACTACAGCCAAACAAATGAATTAATTTCAGCATCAGCCAACAAAGTGGGAAAGTAAATGCAATTAATCTTTGGGAAAACTAGCTGCTCACTGTGCTTCAGCAGAGAACCCATCTCACAGAGTATTAAAAGTGAGATATGTAAGGAAAGAGAGCAAGCTGGAATCCTTCCTCTCTCACACCTGAATAGTTCTGGGGTTTACACTGCACAGT